GATTTTCTTGTCATCACATACCCCAGGAGCTAAAGAAATGACAAAGCACACAGACGGACTCCTTCACATATACAGTCAAGATGTGTTAACATGCCTTGAGCCTTGGAACGCTGTGTACCCAAAAAATAGTTTTAATAAAAATATGGGCCTTTTCCAGGTTCATCTTATGGCCGCAGAGCGTCCAATCTTGCACGCTTCTCACTATATATACCTCTCCTCCTCGGGCAATAAAAGAAAAGGAGCGCACCAGTGAGGGTGACATAATGATTCTCCGTCTCCGCCCCCACGACTAGCGTGGACTACCCCCAGGCGGGAACTCGAGATACACATCATGAAAACACACATATGTCCAAATGGAAATCATCAAACAGTAGGATAAATACCAGTAATACATGAAAATATGTATGCAAACAAGCTGTACCTCTTTCCGATCTTTTCCAAAATGCTTCTCTATGAACTTCTTCAATAAATCCATTCGGTTGAATGATTCATGATCAGCCACCGAATACACTAATACAAACGCATCAGCTACCTAAAATCGAGAAAAAAACAATTGAAAACTATGGAAAAAAAATCTTTTTTTTCCAAATCCCATTATGGAAAATCGACCAAAAATTCAAATATAACAGTAAAACAACCAACTAACGACCAACGGAAAACAAACAGGACCTCGGCAAAATCAAATCCAATTAAACAAAAAAAGTGAGATAGAGTGAAGAGAGGCAGAAGAGAGAGAGAAAAGAAGTGAGAAAAGGTGAAGAGAGAAGTAGAGAGTGTGAGAGATCTCAGAGAAGGATTGTCACAGAGAAGAAAGACAGATAAGGTAGAAAGGAAGAAGAAGCAGAGAAAGAAAGAGGGTGAGAGGTCTAGAAAGAGGGTCAGAGGAAAGCTGCTAGCAAAGATCCTAATGAGGCTAAAAATAAGAAAAGAGTCTTCGCAACGAAATAATAATGCAACAAACCATACTAAATCATGGTATTGTTCAAATGATGAAAAAAATTGATAAAAAATTGATAAATGGAAAAATGGCAAAATTCGGCTCAGAAGGGGCATTTTGCAGTTTCTCATCGATCATGTCGATGCTTCCCCGTAAATTGTTGTGAAACTATGCAATTGTACGAGCTTCGTTTATTTTCGATAACAGTATGCAGGTCTCACCAACGTGATACTTACAAGATGCACCTCCCAAGCCGATCAGCGCTAAAATATTCTCAATAGCGAGGAAAATCCGAAATTGTTCTCTGCGAACTTCTTCAATAAACTCATTCTCACTATATTACGGGGAAAGGGTCATCCCAGAAGGGAAGCTTTTGAGAGCGGTCGTATTTTGGAAAGATTTTAATTTTTCAAAACGTGCTTTGACCCTGCTTTGAGCTCCCTTTTCACTTTTCGACTCAATCGTCCTCTAAACGTTGTTGCTTCTCCACTTGAAGTGGCGCCCTCGTCAAGTTGTGTACCCGTTTGTGTCCAAGTGTTCAGTGAACGAACAAAAGACATTGGAAAACCTGTGAAAGAGCCGATTTTGGCTAATTTTTGCGATGAAAAATTTAACAGCTCAGATGGCGGGTACTAATACTTGCACAACAGGACACTACCGTAATTGCTACTGAAGAAACATTTGAATCGCTTGCAGAATCTTGATTCTTTTTGTTGGTGCGATTAGCAGCCGTTTATCTGCCCAGATTATCCTGAGCCGGCTTTAGCGCGGAATACGATCCCGCACCTATTTTGCGCCGTAATCCATTTATTAGCCCTGTAGAACCTAAGCAGTTGGTTGGACTGAGTTAGCCCAAAAAGGACAAGAAGGAAAAGTGTGGAAGAAAGTTACTTCAAAGCAGCACTGGAATCTACTGGCCTCAATACGAGGACGGAGCGATTTTCAGAAACTCATTGAGAAAAAAAAACCAGTAAAAATCATCCATCAGCCAATCATAGAATCGAGCAGCCAGTTAGCAAAAAGTATCATTGAAAAAGAAACTGGATTTGAAAAAAAACATGTTGTAAACTCAAAATTAAATTGAACTCGAATCCTTTTGAATAGAAAAATGGCGTTAATCACCTTGAGGGAGGTGGAGGGGGGAGGGTACACCTGTAAGATTTCCAGTGTGTCTTTGCCTTCATTTTTTGTCGTGTCTCACCCTGCAAGCCCTGTAAATCCCTATGAATTACCCTGTCACCTCCTGTCAAGCTTGGCAAAAGCGTCATCTGAACGCCATTTCTCCGTTCTCTTCCAAACGTTGACCGCTCACTTTGACAGGTTTGACAAGACAAGTGTTTACAGGGATTTGAAAAAGTTGCCCAATATTCACACGTATACAGGTAACGAAATTTCATATGCTGATAAGCGTTTGCAGGTGTTCCCCCTCCAAGATTACTAGTGCCGGAAAAACTTTATGACAGACCACACTAACTGATTACTATTGCCCCCCCCCTCAACGGTCAACACACGACTCACCTGTAGATATGGCCTTTTCAACTCTGCAGGGCCGTGATCTGAAAGACCGCCGGTATCGTGGAATATCAATATTTCTCGAGGCCGATCGGCTTCTTCCAATAGTACTTGGATAGGTGTCATCAATCGTTGGTTCGTACTTCTGAACAAATAATGGAACGATTTTGAAATTCATCGGAACTAAAAAATTAACTATTATAATTTTCACTTATTATGGCACAATGGGGCTCGGTAGGCACCAAATTGTACTCATCGAAGCCGGTAAGGGTAAGGGTAAGGGTTATCTCGTAAAGACCTATAAATTCTCATATCTAAAGTAGCCTATCTGTGCCGATCCGCAGCTTCACAAAAGCTTGCAAGTTCTACCAAAATGAGACCTGTCAGTCAGCAAACTAAACTGAACTAACGAAAAGAACAAGCGGAATTGCACTGCCCTCCAAAGCCGACCAGCGCCATTATTACTATTTATTATCGTTAATTTTATGATTCAGTTTTATTAAAATCCTTTATGATTACAATTATTTATTTATTATGCTTACAACAAGCAGATCTAAAAAGGTACTCAAACGAGCTAGTTCAGGCAAGCTTCATGGCACGTACACTCCTTATCCTGGAGATTGGATGGGCGTGGTGACTGCGTACTTCACCCAAACAAGCCGAATGTGCGCTTCTGTTTATAGTAAATTACATAATTTATATACGCAGTAGTATTTCAGAGACTCTGGATCATTCCGACCTGTACACATAATAGATGGTCGGAGCCGCGAGAGATTACGCTATGCACGTGCTGTCCGAGAATTTGGATGGTTTCTATAACACATTCCACGATGGTCGCGTGGGCGGAGAAGTGGGAGGAGACCTGCAACTGCCCTGGTGGCAAAGGGGTTGGAGAATACAGTGCGGCGATGCGACTATGTCATGCCGTAGTTTTTCTGAGCCTTGGGCAGCGGCGAGATCAGCGCTTGGATCGCGCGTTCGACGCGATCGATGCAGTAGAAAGCATGCGCATCGATCGCGCCGAACGCGCGACCGAAGCGCTGCCGTCGCGAAGTCTGAACGCTGCCTTGGAATCAGTACGCCAGTTATCCATTTTGTGACATCGTGCACAAATGAGCAGATGAGGCGTGGCATAGTTGCGCAGCTGCGCGGCACATTGGACTGCGTTACTTTCACCCGCAATGCCTTCCTCGCCGAAAAACCTCGCCTTCTCGTGTGCTAAACGGAGAGGCGCACCGAGGGCATTAAGGTTGTGATTCTCCGCCCACACAATCTTCATGGATAATGTGTTTTAACAATGAACCTTACCGGCTAAGAACGCAAAATTTTACTGGTTCCTTGACACACTAGAGCGTCACGCGCATCATCTCAGTGACCATGACAGGAGCCTTATCGTAGCAAATGGTCTCGAATTGTGCGATTCTTCTCCAGGAAACCATCCGACTAAACCACAATAAGGCCGCTCAAGACAAACGACATCATAAAATTTTCCGGAATATTCTCATCATCAGTCATTATCATGGCTAGGTGACCGCTTTTTCGGAAACTTTTTAAAAGTCTTCCAAGGTTGTTCCTCGGTCTATAACTGCTATTGTCCTCATATTTCCCAGGTAACAACGCAGTTATTGCGAAGTCCCATTAACTGCGTACAAGAGTATGGAGAAATATAACTCTGAGACTGACTCTGGAGCGGGGGAGTGGGTTTGGAGGACACAGGAGAATAAAAAAAAACAGCTCAGATAAACAGAAGGGAGTAATAGAATGAGCCAGTCAACTAAGTAACCGTGTGCAAATTAAAATTAGCTAAACTTTACGGTAAAAATGAATAGTTAGCAAAACAAGCACTCTACTCATTTATTTACTTGTTTATTTATTCCGGTTTAATTTTGATAACATCTTTCAGGAACTGGACAAGAAGAGCTGAAGGACACTGCTTCTACCTCACGACCTCACTCGTCAGAAACTAGGCTGAATCCCTATCTAGAATTGTCTCTTGGGGGTTGGTAGGTTGTGTAGGTTTCGACTTCCTGAAGTCACGATCACTTTTTAGCACCAAAACCCTGGCGCTCTCGCTGCAGGTGCCGGCGCCGACCGGGGGCGAGTCTCATGCCCATGGATCAGGCAATCCCTGCTAACAAGTACCCAACCAGTTTAGCGGTTTGTTATGATGGTTAGGGCGTCTGTAGCATAGGTACGAGGCAGTTCCGTGCTAAACGAATGTGCTGCTAGATGAGGGGCTCTAGATTCTCTCAGCGACAAATTTCAAATAATGTGGCTTAGATTTCTTAGGGTGAAATATGTAGGGTAAACAGAGCTGGTAAACGCACCACACTGCAATCCCACAAGATCGCGTTTGGTCGAGATCGACCAACCCCTCCCCTCTCCCACTACCCACGCACCCTCTCTGGGGTTCACTGGTCGGCCTGCAAGGCAACGACTCTGAGCAGCTTACAAATTATACAGGCGGATGGCTTTCTACTGCTCACTTTCTGGATGAGAGTAGCATAGCCGCTGTTCGGCTTGGAGGGGACATTTGACATTCTAGCAATGAGAGCTGCCCTGCTATTTTATACTTGAGAGGCTTTGTAGTTCTTCACAGGAGGCGCTGGCAAATTTTCATGGGAACCAGTAAAATGCCCCCACCAAGCGCACTTGCGCCGAAAACATTACTACTCCAAGAAATTATATATCAGTGTTTCCGCATTTTTCTTGTTATTTAAGAAAGACCTGAAAACTCGTTCACCTTGGAGGTGATGTCCTCGAAGCATGCCACTTGTCGGAGTATGGCCGTCTTACCGACGCGTCGTCCTCCTACTACACGCTCGCCACGACCCAACAAAGAGGTGCTGCCAAAAACAAAAGTAGTTCTGACCTCAATAGATATTTGTGGATGCAGAGGAACATCATCAATAGTTATCTCCACATGTACATCAAAACATCAAGCAAAAGCAGATACTCGTGCGTCTTCTGTATGTTCGCAGATGCCCCCCCTAGTGAATATTGATGGTCAGAGCGATTTCGGTCGAGTGATTGACGCCGATAGTGCAAAAGTCCGCAACTGCAAGGGTCATAACATCCACAGGAAAAACACTGTAAAAGCGCTGACTGTCATAGGCTATGCAGCTGACCGATCGATTACTTATCATTCACCATCCCCAAAGAAGTAAAAACAAATAAAAAGAAGAGGAAAAGACGTGAAAAATGAATCAGTTAAGGAAAAATACATACCACGTCTTCGGCGGTATGTGGCACGTCGTGTCAGCAGTTCATTCGTAGGTGAACTCACACAACGTTTCGTCGGTGAGCTTTCCGATGGCAAATAATCGGATTCTGAATACGGTAAGAATAAGAAAAACATATAAATGTCATAACATTTATAAAACTATAATACTAATCCATAGATTTACATTTCACCCGGAACTAGGTAAACACTGAAATAGATACTGTAGTTCTACAGTATCCCACAGCGGTAACCCTCACGCATTCCTCAGAAATGTGACATTAGGTTCGGTTTGGCAGCGTCACGAGGCTTATAAACTACATTAGAGTTACACATTTATGGTCTGAATGGGCATTTGTAAATAAGTGCGGTAGGGTGGGGCCATTTATCGGTGGGATCACCTTTGTACCGCTACTGACTTCCCGCCATAACAAGGGCATCACCTAAGAAACTGGGTCAAAACGTGAACTTAACAACCTCCTTCCCTCTCACACATAAATCCAATTTGTGGATTGAGCAGCAGCATCAAACAGCAGCAGGACAATTCGAATGATTGACTGGTATCTTCAGGATTCGAATACTTTAGATATTTCTTGATCGCAGCGATGTTCGGCTTGGGAGGAGCGTTTTGCTTTTATTAGTTCCTTTCGCTGGTTCATGTTGATAAATGGATTTCTGGTGAAACATGTAAAATATTGCGAAGGTGCGGCGTAGCACAAGTGAGCCGCACGGTTACAAGAATTTACACTTCTTCACAAAGAGAAATGCTCATGCTTCACTGAGTAGCGTTTAGTGCCTCCACCAAGCCAAACTGTCCCTTGATCGCTTTTGTCATTGCCCTACAAGGTGGACAATATGTATCTAAAAAATTTAGACATAAATCAGCGGTAAAAACAGGTAGATATTGAGATGGAGCTGATTTGCACTTTTGAGATGGAGGCGATTTACAAATGACCTTGTGGAAATTCCACCGGCAGCCCTGTACCCTGGTGGGAGCATTGGAGAACGTTAAGAACAATGTAAACTCGCGTACACCACTCAGTCACGCCAACGTTTTTTGAATGGTGGACTGATACGTGGAGCATTCGTTTACAGTACAAAAATGCTTTCAGGTAGGCAAAAATGTTCCCGAGCAGAAATCCCCCTTTGTAATCAGGACATCTCGTAATTGGGGATCTCCACAAAGGAGGGAAGGGGGGCGTATTCAGCCGCTGCAGGGAGGAAGGGTTATATCTGTATCGTGTTGACTTTCTTCCATTCTCCTGTTTCAGATGCGCTTTACACTTTACACCTGACCGATCAATAGCTATCTTTCACATGCATAGCGAACGTCAATCAAAGCTCCAAGCCTCGACGGCAGTTCTTTGGTGAAAATCTTTAGGTTCTGAAAATTTGAAAAAAAAACCCGAAAGAAGGAAGGAAGTAGGGAATTGCAGGAAGTTGGTAGGCAGGATGGAAAGGGGGTCGTGGAAAACGAGCTAGAGTAAAAATCCAGAGGGGGGGGGTCGCATTTTGTAACAATTTTACCCAATGGCAGCACATGCCCTGTTCACAATCCTAAGTCCTATAGAAACACAGAAACCCTGGTCAAACTGTAGATCCTAGCAATCATGCAACTGTACGAACAGGTTGCTCTAGAGGGGGGTGAGATGAGAGCTGTCGTATCACTTCTAACGAGATTATAAATCATGCATACATCCAATCATAAATGCTTTTCCAGTGGACCGTAATAGAGACGAGATCCGTCATTCTCCGTATTGTACCATATAACACGCCTCATTAACGTGAGAGTCACATAAGTTCTATCGGCTTATTCGAGGTTGAGGGTATACTGTACCCTCCAACTCTCTCTCTCTCTCTCAAGGCCTAGTTTTTCCTTGACTTTCGCAGGCCAAGATAGACTGCA